ATTTAATAATTAACATATTATATAATACGCATAAGTACCTCTTTGGTCAATTAATATTCATTAAACCTTTCTTTTTACATTTTACATTTTACATTTTATTACCGTAGTGGCTTGAAATTTTAATCAGTTTAGCAACTTGCCTACGAATTCTATTTTCATGCGAAAATAACTTCGGATTAGAAACTCGATAAACATCATTAAATAACATTAAATTATACAGTTATGTTATAAAACGCTCAACGTCGGCTATAAACTTTCTCTGTTGCAGGCTGAAATGAGCATGTTGAATTGCAAATTAAATAAGTTGCTCAGGCGGACAATGAAACAATCAAGTAATATTCTTAGAACGGTAGAGACTTTGACGACGGAAGTCGAGGAACAAGACTTCTCGCGATGTCGTCCGTATTCTGACATTCCTGGTCCAAAGCCCATCCCATTTCTGGGAAATACATGGCGATTCATACCATACATAGGTACCATTAAATTTATCTTCCTGTCAGGCTGCTGTCATAATGAATATTCCATAGATTCATCGCGGCTCTGCGAAGAGCATTATACATAACAGAATTTCAATATCCTTTGCCTAGAAACGTTCTCGTGGGTGTTGAGTGTATGTGAACTTTGATCAATGGTCTGGATGACGATACATATCATGGGCCATTACTCTTTTAAAAAAAACTTTAGACTACACATTTTAAAATTTTGAATTGACCACACATCGTACTTTTATAATATTATACGACCTAATTTTTTGTGAATCAAGATGACCGTCCACCTTTTAAATATGTATTATGTTAAGCACGACAATTCTTGGATAATTAATTATCCTCATTTTAAATATCAACTGTTCTAAAAAATATATAATATGTTCAAGAAGTATGTTCAGATAAGTTACGAGACGTTCACATTTATTTTCTCGGTTCCCTTGAAAGTACAAAAAGAGAAAGTGACCCTTTTTTTCGTCCGAGTTTCGAGATCGACGAAAAAGAAGACCAATGCATGGTTACAGGCGATTTTCAGATCCAGTCGGTGGATCGAGTTTCGAGAAGGTTGTATGAAGAGTATGGGGACATCGTGAAGATGGGAGGTTTGTTGGGTAGACCGGACATGGTGTTCCTTTATGACGCGAACGAGATCGAGCGCATCTTTCGACAAGAAGAAAGGATGCCGTACAGGCCTTCGATGCCTTCGTTGAATTACTACAAACACGTGCTCAGGAAGGAATTCTTCAAAAAGAACGCCGGCGTGATCGCTGTGTAAGAAAATTATGCTATTTATTATTAGCATTGTTCTTCCGACGTCTGATTTCTTTTTAATTATAAGAAATGCGTTTTTCTAAGGTACATAAACTTTTGGGATTGACTGTATAGCCAATACATCCTTAAGAGGAACAGAAGGAATATATTAAT